TAAGAAATGTTTGGACCGGCTATCAACTGTAAATGGACTGTAAATTTTAGATATGTAAGTACACTACGTTAAATAGCTCATTGCTTTTATACCACGTTTCATTCATGTTTGTTCTGTGCATTGTTGCCAAACTTTCCATACTCTGAATAATAAATCAGAAACCGGCCGAATCCCCACGAAAAATCCGACCGGCCGAATCCCCACCGGCCGAATCCCCACCTAATCGCCATTTTTTCTTGATCTTCAAATTCCCTGACTTTCCCCTGGCCATTTACACTTTTACCTAACTATTTTTGCCTTTCCCTAGCTCTAGAACTTTATAACTCCCTGCCTTGCCCTGACCTTTGAAATATTCGTTTTTTTCAATACGCTGACTTTCGCTAAACTTTGGAGAAGATCTCTTTGATTCAAGATCAAATTATAGAAAAAGGCATTCGATGGCTGATTAAAAGATGACAAGCCTTAAAAAATAATGGAAAGGGTATAAACAGTTGGAAGATCAGTGATATGTTTCAGTTTTAAGTAGATGCGTCATTTCCTGGACTTTTCTCGGTGGTCGCAAACTACCTGACTTTCCCTGATTTTCCAGACCGCAGCATAGTGGATCGAGTCAATAGGTGAGGTCGGACGAAATTTGGAAATTTTAAAGGCTTATAACTCCGTTCATACAAAATTTTGAAGTTCTAAAAGTGGCTCCATTGGTTTTTTCTTGAAATTTTCGTCCCGAAGCTCCTTAAAATTTAAATTGTGACGAAATAAACATCAAAACTTACAGTTTTGGTCAAAAATGTCATGTCCTACCAGAGAAATTGACTCTGTCCATTGTGCACCGGCAGCCCTGTTAGAGGTTAGAGGAAATCATGGCCTGCACCACCCAACGGCCTACACCTCTAGAATGGCTGACCAGCGTTAGACACCGACCCGTAACGTTTTGAATTTGATATAGGTTAGGTTTACTTGGGCTCACAAGGCAGGCTGCCATCTAAACCCATGTTAGACACTGCCCACGTATATCCCAATATTGTTGAATTAAGTGATAGCAATGAAAAGATGGCATAATAATCGCATCTCAAAAGGTTTTCTTTACTCAAAAAATAGGAAATTTGAAAGCAAACCTCAAAATAATTAAAGTTTACAAAGGTTGAAATTTTCACATGTAATTCTTATGTGCAAGACGCAGCAGAAATGGAGATTGATGTTAGCTATACTTGAGCTCCCACCCCCCTCCTGCCTGCAAAAAACGGCACATGCGTATTACGCAGGTTTGCTATCTGGCGACCATTCTAGAGGTGTGCACTACCACGATGGAGGGTGCCAAACGCGGTTTTATGGAAAAAAAAACACACATTGGATCTAGAGTCCAGACTCTTGAAAACATTGACAAGAAAAAATACTGTTGATTCAATCAGATTTTTGCTTAAATCAAAAGGAAATCCGCTCCAATTAGGAGGCTTAGTTCTTGATTTAAGTAAAAATCCGATTGAATCAAGAGTATTTTTTCTTGTCGATGTTTTTAAGAGTCTGAACTCTGGATCCAATGTGTTTTTTTTTTCAAGTGTTTTTCTCGAGAGACGATGGGTATCTCCTCCATTAAGATTAACATAAAAATTTGACGTTTGAAAAGATCTTAATACTGAAGAGATCGTGTTTTAGTGGCTCTAGAGCCATTAAAACACGATTCTAAGACTAGCGCAACTGATTTATTGCGCCAATCAAACTTAGCCAATTTTCAAGTAGAATCACTTTCTGGGAACGTTCCTCGTGACCGCTTCCCTAACTTGACATCTTTCAGGTAAAAGGTGTGTGAAAAAATTATTCCTACGGTCTTAACAAAGCGTATTTTAAGATCGACCAGTTTATGAGAAGTGTTAGATTTTCGACAAAAAGAGGGACCTTTCAGGGACTGATAAAAATTTTTGAGAAGACGAGAAATAGCTGAAAAATGAAAAAAATTCTTAATTAACTTCTTCAGAGTTTCTTTTTTTTTACTCAAGTTTTTTTCACGCCTTGAGGAGTTTATCTAATTGAAAGTCAGGGAAGGAATACTTCTGTGAAAAGTATTTTCATTCGCATTCAAAATTTGAGCTTTAGTGATAATAAAATATTATTCGAGTACAATAAATCATCCGAGTCCGAATCGGAATGGGTCATCACTTGGCCATCTCTCGTTACCCCAACTAAGTATAGATTCAAAAACAAATATTCATATTGATTCGATAGTGAATAGTTATTTTGTTAGTTGTAATAAAAAACAATGTGTAAAGTTGCTTCGTAACATTTATTGAAAAAATAAACAAAACAATATCAGGAAAAGAAAATATACCTGAGCGAGTAAAAAAAAAAAACAAGGGTGCTTACATTGAGCTTAATTTTGACAAATAGACATGCTTGGAATCCTAGTAATTGGGGATGGGCAGATTAAAAATGAAATTCTCCCTGAGAAATATATGAGAGGGTTTCCCTCAACATGATTATCACAATAGTCACATAAATAGGGTTTCTAGTTACTATGAATACATTCGAAAGCAATCATTTTTTTTTTTTTTTCCAGAGGAAAAATAGGCAACATTCTGCCTTAAACCTCTACAAGTTGAGTTTCCTTAATCTAAGCAAATAGTGACGGTTTCGAGACATTACGTTCGTTAATTGTTCGGGCATGAAAAATTGAATACGATAAGAAATTAGGCGACGTGAAAAGTAGCAATGCTGATTCTGATTGAGTCCGTTTTATTAAATTTGAATAAAATGTCAAAAAAATTGCAGTAAAATGACCAGTGGCCGAAATAATTTAATTCCTCGATGTTGTTTTAAGTTGTCGTGGCAAACTGATGCAAAGAACATTCATTGCATTGAAAAAGTCTCTGGTGAAGATTAAACCTGAACTGTTGTTTTATCTGATTTTTCCCTTTCCTTTAAAAGACAGATCACGTACTAAATAAACTCCTTCCAAGACCTAGTTATATGCTGAAAAAGTCTTAAATCCAATGGTAGAAGAAATTTAGTTGTTTTGTGGAAAGAACGACTGACGACTTCTAGTAGCCGTGTATCCTCTGGGATACGTCAAAGTATCTACCGGTGGGTGATATGCTCGCAGGACCACCAAAAAAAAAAAAAAACACTTAAAATGTGGCCCGAGCTGTATGTTACAATGGTGGTAAAATAGTGCTGAGTTCACACTATTTTGCGGGGAAAACAAGGCCAAGAAATTCTAAAAATTTCAATTAGAGTAAAAAAATTGAGCTCTAATCAGTGTCAGTACATAACTGACGGGAAAGAGTGTTCATCTGAAAACTAGAGCTCAAATTTTTGACTGTGATTGAAATTTTTCGAATTTTTGGCCTTGACTCCTCCGCAAAATAATGTGGACCCAGCACAATTTTATTACCTCGTTACATCACAGTAAGGATACTTCATTTCAAATAGTTTTTTTCCAGGGCAACAGGGCTCTTCCTGGCCTTTTAAACTAAAAGAAAATTCCTCCTTCCCTCCCGAAATGGAAATTAAATTTTAGGTTGAAGTGATACATTATTAACGAAGAAGAGAAAAACATTCACACAATTTAATAGTGCTTAAATTGTCGGGGCAGTCATATTGAGTTTTCGATAACGGATCTACATCGCACAACCGAAACTCAATATAGATTGACGCTAATTTAAACGCAGAGCTTCTGATAAGTGCTGTATTTCTTAACTTGTGGCAGGAGGGAATTCGACTAGGTAATTTTAAGTTTTTAGACAGATGGACGGCGATCATTTAAAACGCCGATGATAAGCGTGAACTTTTCAAAATTAAATAACGAGGCTACTTCACAATTCATGAATATTCGGTTGTTGAAGCGAGGATTGTTTTTCATTTCACACAATAAGATGAATCTTCCGTTTATGTGCTTTTAAGACGTCTGCACGCTTAGCAGCGTAATCACATAGGTCACATGAATAAGGTCTAAGGCTGGAGTGAACTGACTGATGGTTCTTCAACTGGAAGTTTAATTTGAAAGATGCATCGCACAAATTACATTTAAACGGTCTGAGGTCGGAATGACGTAATGCTCGGTGTTGATATAGGTTGCCCGGAGTTTTAAAAGCCATTGTACATTCATTACATTTAAAAGGCCTCTCTGTAGAATGACATGAGCTCTTATGCTGATTCAAAATGGAAGTCTTTTTAAACGAGATATCGCATAAGTCACACTTAAAAGGTCTCACATCTGAGTGTACTATGAGGTGCTCTGTAAGATTACCTCGACGAGAGGTACTATAATCACAGAAAGAACAACTGAATAATTTCGATTGACCATGAATTTTCGGAGGTTTATTTGGCACCTCTAGAGAGGAACTGCAACCTTTCCGGAGATGTTTCTTCAGAGTCGATTTTTTCGGAAATTTTGCCTTGCAAACCTTGCATTTGTATGGGCCTGTTTTTTTCTTTTTCTTTTTTTTCGATGTTTTCTCCACGTTGCCTCTCACATGCTCCAACCAGTGTGCCACGAACTCGGATTTTCTTTCGAACTCGAGTCCACAATTGTAACACGTAAAGTTTCGACTGGGTTCCCGGTTCCTAATTTGATTGGAAAATTTTTTCGAGACTGTGTCGAATCCTTCTTTTAAACCGCGACTTGCTTTGCGTATTTTAATTTTCCTGCAAAAAAGAAGGCGCAGAAAGTGAGGGGTATGTGAATTAAAGTAATAATACATTTTAATACGAAAAATTTATAAACATTTGGCACGGAAACAAAAAATAAATAAATAAATAAATAAAAAATAAATAGATAAATAAATAAATAAAAAAGTGATCGAATGAACGTTTTTGAATAATGCACGGTTTATACTGCCGTGGTATAAGGAAGAACGTCATATAAACATTTGGAAGTTGCCAAATTTCACCACACAAAACACGTATTTTTAAGGGAAGTCATGCGTATTTTCCCTTGAAATGTTAAGATATTTTAGATTTAAATTGCGAACAAAATTGTCCAAAAAATTCGAAGAAAAATATTCACGATTTTCCCAATAAATTCGGGGTTTCTTTGGGGAAATACGGCAACTACTGAAGGCTCATACGGCGTTTTCCCTTGGCACGGCAGTATAAAGCGTTCGTTCTGTTCTTAAGATAGGCACCAGTGCATATCTCCTTGTGAAAAAAACAAAGCGCGTAAACGAAAAGAACACGCGCAAACGAAAACCAAATGAACGCGAAGCAGTTGCGACAACTATTCGCTTGTTGATTAAATAAAGACAAGGTACGAATTCATTCGTCGTGAATTGCGTCTTATTGTTTCCATTATTTGCATTACTAGTAGGAGTTGTGGGCATACATTTTTTGGATATTTGCTGGTAAAGAAAGAGTTGCGTTGCTTCTTACAGCATTTTGTGAATGATGCGTTTGTGACTCTGTAACTGGTCTTTGCGCTTGGCGGCGTAATCACATAAGTTACATTGATAGGGTCGGAGGTTGGAATGAATTAGATGATGTTTGTCCAAGTGAAACTTCACTTTGAAAGATGCATCGCACAAATCACTTTAAAACGGTCTCAGGTCGGAATGAGTCAATGCTTGATGGTTGCGTAGGGTGCTGCCGTTCTTAAATGCCATCGAAAATTCGTCACATTTGAAAGGCCTCTCGTTGGAATGACACCCGCGTTTATGTTTATTCAGATCATCATTAAATTAAAATACTAGAGAGCATAAGTCACATTTGAAAGGTCTCAAATCTGAATGGGTCACTAAGTGCTCTTGCTTTGATCAGCGGTTACATAATCACAGAAAGAACAACTAATTGGCTTGGATTGACACAGCGCTTTCGGAGGTTCATTTGGAGCTTCAATGGACAAGCGGCAATCTTCGCGGAGATGCCTCTTCAGAGTCAGGATTCATCAATTCATACAGTTCTTACTTACGCGGTTTCATGGGCAAGGGATTGAATAATTGTCATGGATCGCATACTCGGTTAAATGAAGGCGATTTAAACGATGTTTCCGATAAGACCTGCGGCGCTGCGTTGAGTTTCAATCGAATCGACGTAATTCTTGCTTGAATAAGCCGGGTAGGTAGCTGTTCGTGCACGATTATCGCAAATTGTATACTCCATTGAATGAAAGCGTTTCACAAGTCTTTTCCGATGAAAACCGTGGAACTACGCAGAATTTTGATCGAATTAATGAGTTTTCGGCGTAGGTGAGCAGGATAGGCAGATATTATTGCATTCCCGACGAACATTGCATACCCGGATACATGAAGGCGTTTCACTCCGATTGTTGGGTAGAACCGGAGGACTACGGCGAATTTCAATTTGATGAGGTGCTTCCTTGCAGGCGGAAAGATTACGCTGTTATTCAAACCTCGCGGTCATGGATTGCTTTTTTTTTTTCTCTTATCGATCGATATTCGATATTCGGTTGTTCATGGATACGTAAATTTTCATTCCTTGTTATGAATTTTTCGGGTGTGTCTTTTCAAGACGGCTTTCTGCTTTGCGGCATAATCACAAAATTTACATGAATAAGGTCTAAAATTAGAATGAACTTGATGATGCCGGTCCAAGTATACCTTAAATTTAAAAGATGCATCGCACAAATTACATTTGAACGGTCTGAGGTCTGAATGAACTGATACTTTGTGAAAGTTTAGGTTGGTGCTTTTCGTAAATGCACTTGGACATTCATCACACTTAAAAGGCCTCTCGTTGAAATGACACTCGCGCTTATGTTTCCTCAGAGTGGAATTATGTTTAAATGCTTGAGGGCATAAGTCACATTTGAAGGGTCTCAAATCTGAATGGACCTTTAAGTGATCTTTCATATGACTTCGACGAGAGGCTACATAATCACAAAAAGAACAACGGAATAACTTCGATTGACCATAAGCTCTCGGAGGCTCATTCGGAACTTCAGTGGACGGGAGGCAATCTTCGCGAAGATGCTTCTTCAGAGTCGATTTCTTCGCACATTTTGTCTTGCAAATCTTGCATTTGAAGGGGCCTAATTGCATCTCTTTTTTCGATGATTTCTCCGCATTGCTTTTCACATGCTCCAACCAGTGCGCCACAAAATCCGATTTTTCCTCGAACTCGAGTCCACAGTTGTAGCACGTGAATTTCCTACTATTCTTTGGCTCCTTAATTTGATTAGGATATTTCTTAGAGACGATGTTGCTTCCGTCTCCCGAATAAGAGACTGGTTTTCGCGATTTACGTGCCCTGTAAAAAAAAGACGGAAAAAGTGAGGGGTGCGTGAAATCAAGTGGTAACACTTTATTTTAATCCGTAAAATCTGCAAACATACGGTTTGTAGACAACGCAGTATTATAGGCAATTGATCGGATATTACTGCCATTGATCGCCTACTCGGTGAAATCAAGGAAATTACGCCGTTTCCGACAAAACCTGCGAACTACGTAGAAAATCAATCGAATTAGCGGGTTTCTAACTCGTGTAAGCAGCACAGGCATTCAGCACTCGTCCATGATTGCCGCAAACTGCATACTCGACTACATGAAGGCGTTATACAATGCCGTTTCCGACAAAAAAAAAAAAAAAAAAAAAAAAAACGCGAAACTACGTAAGAACTTTTAATCGAATTAACGCGTTCCTCGTATTGGTGAGCAGCATACGCTATTTCTGCCGTGCAACGCAAAAACGCCGTAAACGCCATTTTTAATTTTTTTGAAACAATGTATCATACCAAAAAATTTGTGTACCTAGGGAATTTTTTTTTACAGAATTCCTTCGCAAATACTATCAAGAACTTAACCTGAAAATTTGAGGTGCATGGGTAAAACAGTTTTTATTTTAATAAGTGTTAAGTTCCAAAAAACGCCAGAGAATCTAGATGGACTTACGGCGTTCTTGCTTAGCTCGGCAGATTACGGTACATACTCGACTACATTGCATACTCGGCTAGATGAAGGCGTTATGATGCCTACCCGGTAAAAACCGCATATTTAAGGCCGATTAAAATGTGATGCGACTCCGGCTTAGTTGGGTGGATCACACGACTGCGACGAACGTCACTGCCATGAACGGCATTTATCAGCTTATTGTATACATAATTTAGGATGTCAAATTATTGTAAATATACCCCCTCCTTTCATCATAATATTGATTAAGAAATAAAAAAAAAAATTAAAAAATTCACCACGGTCTTTTGAATTTAAATGATTTGCTATAAACTTCGTATACGGCCACGGTGAAGTTTCTAATATTACGAACATAGTGACGGTGTTAAACTTCCAATTAAAATTGTGCACCAACTTCCTTAAAAGAAAACTGGCGGAATGAATTCTTGAAATCCAATGGGGACGACGGTCTTAATCATTTCATATGATTTTCATGGCTGCGCAGTGCGCATATTGGAGTTAAATCCAGGGTGGCTCAGCATGAATTATTTGGAATAGAGTCATTTCCTGCGAAATACCTGATGTTTTTCGAGTCGAATGACCTCTTACTTCCAGGCATCATTTCATTTTCACAAAGGTCATGTGAATAAGACATCTCGTCACTATATACGCGTTGGTGACTAATCAATACTTGATTCATCCTCATGTTTGAAAGATTAATTGGATTAATGACATTTCAATGGTCTAAGGTCGGAACGAGTTGCTGTTTACACAATGTTATGCATCCTCCGTTTGTGTTTTTTCAAGTCGTGTTTGAGCCTGGTGGAATAATCACATAAGTCACATGAATGAGGTCTAAGGTTGGAATGAACACTTTCATGCTTCCTCATATTGGACTTCAACTTGAATGATGCATCGCACAAATTACATTTGAACGGTCTGCGGTCGGAATGAGCGCTTTCTTGATGTTGTTGTAGGACAAAGCGGAGCTTAAATGAACTGGGGCACTCATTACATTTAAAAGGCCTCTCATTAGAATGACACGTGCTCTTATGTTTTCTTAGAACGGGTTTGAGTTTAAATGCTGAAGTGCATAAGTCACATTTGAAAGGTCTTAAATCTGAATGGATCACTAAGTGCTGCTCTAAGTGACTTTGATAAGAGGTTACAAAATCACAAAAAGAACAACTGATTAGCTTGGATTGACCCTGCGCTTTCGGATGTTCATTCGGAACTCCTGTGGAAGGATAGCAATCTTCGCGGAGATGCTTCTTCAGAGTCGATTTCTTCGAAAATTTTGTCTCGCAAATCTTGCATTTGAATGGGCCTGTTTCCTTCTTTTTCTTCGATTTTTTCTCCACGTTGCCTCTCACATGCTCCAACCAGTGCGCCACGAATTCAGATTTTTCCTCGAACTCGAGCCCACATTTGTAACACGTGAACTTCCTATTGTTGTTTGGCTCGTTGACTGGATTAGGATATTTTTTTGAGACGACGCTGATTCTATCTCCCGAATGATTGACTGGTTTTCGCAACTTAAGTGCCCTGTAAAAAAAATAAGCAAGAAGTGAGGGGTCTGTGAATACAAAGATGACTTGATCTGCAAAATTTGTGTGGAAAAGTTCTGGTTTCTTCAAGCCGACGAGGATTCGTTGATTAAATAACTTGAGATCGTCCAAAGAAAACAAGGTGGCATAGAGGCTGGAACGCTCTAAAATTCAGTTCTGCATTGATACATCTGTATATAGCCATACACGAAATTAGGCAGATTCTGATTCGAAGAGTAGCATAAGCGACTACTCAGAGCTTAAAGGATGACTGGATACGACCTGAACTAGAGAAACACGTCTCACGGTTTCCCTTGATAATATTACGCAGAAACAGATTCGAACAACGAGATATTCAGAAATCAACTGCTCCATAACGAAGTATGAATAAGTGTTTTTAACACAAACGAAATTTAGTTAGACAATACAAATGGCGTCATTGGTATTTCTGCCATTCATCCGATGTTAATATAAAAAACTTTTATCTTATCTTGTTCAGGAGTTGATTTTCAGATTTATCGATGTGCAACACGTTTTCCTCGTGGAATTTTGAAGAGAAAACATGTTGAGTAGGGCGATGACTCAGACCTTGTTTCTGTTCAGTAAAAACAGCGGTTCTGCAGGGATGTACCGATTGGTACAGTTTAAGCTTATACGTGGTTTTATAGGCAAGGGATCGAATAGCATTGTCATGGATTGCATACTCGGTTAAATGAAGGCGATTTAAACGATGTTTCCGATTTAACCTACGGAGGTAGGTGCGTTGAGTTTCAATCAAATCGACGAGTTCTTGCTTGAGTAAGCAGGGTAGGCAGCTATTCGTACACGATAAACGCAAATTGTATACTCGACTAAACGAAGGCGTTTTGCAAGTCTTTTCTGACTTTTTGTACCGTGTAACTACGTAGAATTTTGATCAAGTTAATGAGCTTTTCGGTAAGATATGCAGGATTGGCAACATTGGCAGGATTGGCATTCGTGCATTACCGACAAACATTGCATACCCGGATACAAGAAGGCGTTTCACTCTGTATCTTACGCAGAACCGCAGGACAACGGCGGATTTTAATTTGATGAGGTGCCTCTTTGACAGAAGAAATTAGGCAGTTATTTACACCTCGCTGTCATTGATTGCATTTTTTTCTTCTTTTGTTTTTCCTTATGTAAGCATTATATGCATGCGTAAATTTTAGTGATGATAGGTTGTTGATGAGTAAGTTAATTTTTACTCGATGTTGTGAACATTTCGTTTGTGTTTTTTCAAGTTGGATTTCTCCCTTGCGGCATAATTACAAAAATCACATGAATAAGGTTTAAAACTAGAGTGAACTTGATGATGGCGGATCAAGTGTGTCTTAGTTTTAAAAGATGCATGGCACAAATTACATTTAAACGGCCTAAGGTCAGAATGAACTGACGCTTTGTGATTGTTTAGGAGGGTGCGAGTCGTAAATGCACTTGGACATTCATCACATTTAAAAGGCCTCTCGTTGGAATGACTTAAGCGCTTGTGTTCATTCACATGCCAACTACGTTTAAATGTTGCAGTGCATAAGTCACACTTGAAAGGTCTCAAATCTGAGTGGACCGCTAGGTGCTGCTTTAAATGACCTCGATGAGAGGTTTTATAATCACAAAACGAACAACTGAATAACTTCGATTGACCATGCGCTTTCGGAGGCTCATTCGGAGCTTCAGTGGACAGGTGGCAATCTTCGAGAAGATGCTTCTTCAGAGTCGATTTCTTCGCAAATTTTGTCTTGCAAATCTTGCATTTGAATGGGCCCGTTTCCTTCTTTTTTTTCGATGATTTCTCCACATTGCATTTCACATGCTCCAACCAGTGCGCCACAAAATCAGGTTTATCCTCAAACTCAAGTCCACATTTGTAACACGTAAACTTCCTACTGTTCTCTGATTCGCTGATTTGATTAGGATATTTCTTACAGATGATGTTGATTGTGTCTCCCGAAAGAGAAATTGTTTTTCGCGAAGTAAGTGCCCTGAAAAAAAGGAGGAAAAAGTCAGAAGCCTGTTAATAGCAGCCGCTTGAATGAAAATAGTACTAATGAACAGAGTAGGAAGAGGATTTACTCATTCTCAGCCTGTTTATTAGGGGATCTATATACCCATGGAGGCATTTAAAAGAAAAGTGCATACCTGCATTGTGAGTTTTGACAATGGCTAAAGTCGCGTATAATTCGTACTTCAAAATGCCACATTATGCAAATCTTGCTCGTGTTTTATTTACGTATTTTTTTTAGGAAAACGAACGAAAAAGTTCTGTTGGATTTTCTGTCAATTTTCTTCCCTCATCCTACAAAATAAAAATAAATTGCAGGGATTATCCATTAGTTATCCTTAGGAAAATATGAAACATAATAAGAAATTCATTAATGTTGCAATTGAGATGCCTGCGTGCATTTCACATTTGGTCATCGATGGATGAAATAGTTTAGGGCTTCTATACCAAATCATTCGTACTCCGACATGAGGGCGTAAGAGTATTTTCATGAGAGCCTTGAAAACTCCAGACAATACTAAAGATAGAGCTCATATCGACGATATACGCTCTAATGTGAGAAGTTTGGGTTTTTGGCATTTTTGACCCCCCCCCCTCCCACCCCCTTTTAGAGGTTTTGTGAGGAAGATCCCTATCCTTCAACACGTAAAAAACCAAATGGCGTCACGCTCTCCACAAGCCCTCCTTCCCCTCCCCTCTAGTGCGATATACGTAATTCAGGGACGGCCGGCGGCTCCATATATAGTGATTAATTAAAGCCCAAAAAAGAAAGAATTTTGAAAGAATGAAAGA